ACTATAGTTTGGATGTGCTACGTTCTCAATTCGGGAAATCTACGTTCCCATGTCGGTGGCGCTGAACACCCAATTTATGTTACGAGCACAAATGTAAATTACTCGCGCAAACGCGATTACTGCTCGGTGATTCGTTGAGTTCAGAATTTGGTTAAATCCTTGATAGGAACCGGGAAATTTCAAATAATAAACGTGAATATTCCGTTAAAACGGAGGGAAAAAGCTCACAAGTAGAATAAATCATTCAATAATTAATAACATTAATTATTGAAGGAAATCAGTCTTCTTGAGAGTAAACCCAAATAATTTATTTACTAAAAGTTCAAGAATACAAGTTATGACTAAGGAAGCTTAGAAGCAACCTTTCTAGTCAATAGTCAACTTAAATCTAATCTGTAGTTACAGTCCAGCGGACTTGTTCTCCGCTGTTAGTCCATGTTGGAGGAAATGCGCATGTTCTAAATGACGCGCATCCCCCACTATACAGTAGTATAGTATAGTATAGTAGTATCCCCACTATATAGTAGATACATTTATGCACTTCACTAATACTAATACTGACTCATACGTCATACTTGTCGATGTTGATACATACACATTCATCATAACATTATGATTCCAATAATTATCACATGATAATTATTTCAATATATATATACACATGCATACATTCTAATAATAATATTTATATTTATAATAATTATATTTACACCTGTACATGACACATACGTGTTACAAATATAGTAAATATTATATAGAATTATACATAGTTGATGGTCATGATAGTTATAACAAATTAATTGTTTAACTATAAAGCTTGAATGTAGTTTATTTACAAGTCTTAATTCATTATCAATTATATTATAATAATTGATTATATGTTAGATTGATAGAAATAATGTAATATGCAAATTACAATTATTTATAAAAGTAGTGGAATAATTAACATTTCTAAAAAGTATTGAAAACTGGGTTTTTCCAGTACGTGATTTTATCCTGAGAAAAAGGATAAAATGTACGTTGGTCAACCGATGTATTTTATGGTTTTACCTCCAAAGAGGGTCTACTTGAGAATTGAAAGACAGTTTTTTATGACATCTTTGGGGTTATCTCTCTTAGTTTATGGTTGACAATTGTGTTTGAGTTTTAAGGGTATATTGTCTTCAGAGTGACAATACACAAACTCATATTGCTAGAAATGTATTTAAACCTTACTATTTTTTGTAGCGATATTTTCAAAGACATACTGTGTCTGCGAAACATATGTATTTCATCTTTTGTTATATTTCGGCTATTGATAGAGAGATATTTGAAGAATACAATATTTTAGGAACATATTTACTAAATTGAACGCAGAAAGTTCTTCTCAATCTATGGACAGGATATTATTTTAAATATAAAATTAATATTATATTTTCCCGCGATTTCTAATCGCATTTCGATTAATATCGAATCACGATTCGAGCGAGATAATAGTCGCTCGTTACAAGATTTGAAACTTAAAACCTTGGGACTGCAATAGCCGCATCTTGGGCGTTCAGCACGCCCAAGTTGGAAATGCAGCTCCTCCAAACTAAAGTCGTATCGCATTCGTACATTTTCGGTCTACTTGGAACGGCACGTCACCCAAGATTTTTTCCGTGTATTGGATAACAATCTAAATGTTCAAATTCACCATTGACAGATATTCGTGCCATTTCTCTAACAGAGGGACAAATTAACCATCTTGAGAAATCCCTTCTTTATCCGGCGCGAAATGAATAAATATGTCAACCTAACCCCTAAATTAAATATATAAGATGTCAGAAAAATAATTTCGCTCACATCAGATCGTACACATTTTCTGTGCAACTTTTAACCCTCAGATATAATGGGAGAGAATATACAAGTAGATTTCCATTATCAATTCAAAATTTATTTTAGAAGGACTATTTAACTCTCTTCATAAGCAAAGGAAATATACACTTTTTGAACCTCTTAATTTGACTCTCCAGTTTTCTCAGTGTAGTGGAGCGTGGGGTAATGGGAGCTTTTAAATTTCACGTACTTAAAAGCCTTAAAATTCGCTGCAATGTCTAGAAAATCTTCTACAACCTTTGTTTATATTATTCCAAAACAAACGATTACATTCTTGACAAATTTTTAGTAAAGACAAGGGAAAATGTATTTTTTGAGTTTTCGTTGTAAAATGCAAAATATTTCTTAACATCACCATAAGTAGTTAAAATTGTATTATTTAGTTCTGTTTTTCATTATATTATAGGTGAATATGTGTAGATATGTATACTTGTATAAAAATCGAGATAATAATAAAATTTGTTTATAGGTATTTTTATTTTTTTATTCAAATTTTGGCCTGTAAGAATTCTGTGGGGTAATGGGAGAATTAGTGTCAGCCCAAAGAATCTTCGTTACTATGTTACGGCTTTCGTTATTTCTTTCAAAATTGTAAAAGATATCACCTTATGAAAAAACTTCTAATTAAAAAATAATTTTTCGTGGAAAAAATAAAAAATAAAATTTTTTATTCAATTAAAATTTAGGAAAAATTTATTCTAAGTCTAAAGTTTTGGCTTCATTGTAAGTATTAACACTTTTTCTATTATAAAACAAAAAATATTCCTAAAGAATAGAAATTTTTTAAATTTCAAGTGAAAGCTCCCAATACCCCACAAATTGGGTGGTGGCAAAAAATGTATTTTTTTTGAAAAATTTTTTTTTCCAATTTACTTCCTCTTTTTAAGTTTCTAATTAAACATAATTAAAGATAAATAACGAAATGAGTAGAAAATGACGAAAACAATGTATTATTATAAAGGTAAGTTGGTTTTTTTAATAATTTTCCTTAAGGGGCTCCAATTCCCCCACGCTCCCCTATAACAATTTGTGTTTAAAGATTTTCAATGCGATAAGAGCAATTGTTTAAAAGATAAAAAAACACAAACTGTTAGAGGCAAAAAGGAGATATTTCAAAAAATCCTTTTTTCCCCACTTAATTCACATCAATATCAAACATCGAAAAAAAACTTCGATACATCGAAAATATCGAAATTAAAACATCGAGGTTATAAACATCGATGTTTCCGATGTCGATGTCCCATCATTACAGAAAATCCTATTAGTAAGAAAAGAATAGACGTATCTTCGCCCTTTTCTTACTAATTATCCACACGGAAAAAAATTAATCTCTAAACTTGAAATAATATTAATTTGAAGTCCAATGAAATATAAGTGTATCTAAATTAAACATTATAGTCACAATTACTGTGATAAGTTGTGTTTGATTCTGTCAAACTTTATACCAGAAAACGCCATAAATTCACATCTCTGATTTAGAGATTTGTTAATTTTACAACTTTTTTTATATGAATTAGGTACATTGTGTTTTAAGTTAATCAGTGACAAAAAAGATTTAAACCATTTTAATTAATTAAGTATTAATTTTATTTTCAAATATCCAAATAAAAGCGAAGGTCTGTGAAGGAAGGTCTGTGAAATTTTAAGGTTACAATTGTCGCCCGACAAAATACGGCACTGACTGATTTAAATGACGTGAAATAGGTAAATAAACATTTTTCAACCACTTTTTCTCTAAACACAGACACTTTTTACAAATTAGGCCAACATACAATAAGTAAGAATCTTCTTAATAACCTAAATTCAAAAGATTGTTTAAATTCATGCAGAAACGCGGTTGTCAAGCGGTTGTAAAATGTAAAATTGGAAATGATTGGAAAGTAATGTAATGACAGACAACAAGAAGCGGATTACTGCCAGTCGCCAGAAGAGGGCAGAAGCATGCAGAGAGCACAATGGTCCAGCTGTTATATTCTTAGCATTACATCACTTTCCAATTTTACATTTTACAATACTAATATTCGGATTAGATATAATACCAAATTTCAATTTTAGTGATCTGCTTACATCTTACGTCTGATTCCAGTGATAGGTTATGCCTAAATCTTAGATTTAATCTCTAATTTAGAGATTAATTTTTTTCCGTGCAGAGAATCAGGCTAACATTCAAAACCTAAACTTCTAAGTTTAGTTATTTCAAAAAAATTATTTCATTGATGCAAATAAATATTTATTTTAATTAAAAACTATGCATTATTGAATCAAGTAATTTTCATAATTGATTTAAAGCAATATTTATTAGATCAAATTATTCTATTTAATTGACTTAAGTAATTTGTATTTGGTTCAAATAACTATTTTTTTTGATACCATAAATTAAAATATTTATGTCCAGTAAATATTTACTTAGTTCAAATAAATAAAAATAAATCAGTAAAAACAAATAAGTTTAAATACAACCGAACGAGCGTTAGCGAGTGAGGTATATGTCGCTAGTTACACGTGTAATAATTCTAGAAGTTTTGAAAAAATATCAAAGTATACATTACACGTGGAGATTTGGTGAGAAAATTTACTTTTACATTCAAAGTATAAAATACACGTGTAGATTTGGTATAAGAAAATTAACTTTAAAATCAAAGTATAAAATACACGTGTAGATTTGGTAAGAAAATTAACTTTAAAATCAAAGTATAAAATACACGTGTAGATTTGGTAAGAAAATTAACTTTAAAATCAAAGTATAAAATACAAGTGTAATTACACGTGTAACAATTCTAGAGATTTTGAAAAAATATCAAAGGACAAATTACACGTGTATTTTTTCAATAAGGTATCCTTAGTTAATTCAAAATTTAAAATAATCGAGACAATTCCTTATTTTTGTTTTTTCTTTTTGGCATTGTAAATTATTTGGTGTTTTTTTGGTATTAAATTACAATAATCGTATGTCAATAATATTTAGTTTGTATTATTCATAAAATGAAAACAAAAATTTTAGTTTTAAATTTGCGGAGGTTTTTATATCTACATATACAACTTATTTTCATAATTTTTTTAGAAATTAAATTAATAAACTGAGTCTTCTTTTATCGTTATCAAAGTTATCGATCACAATACTAAAGCAGCGTCATTGTTGATTATGATGATAGTGGACTAATGTATCAATCAATTAAATTGAATTTTGTAATTGAAGTTTTTACTTTGACAGTATTGAAGGAGATTTTATATACTTTTCTGTATATTTCAATTAATCTACCACGTGCAATTAATCACAATATTTATTATAAAAGTAATAACGTCTAATACAAGACTTATTTAATGTGCTAACAGAATTCTTTAATTTTATATGTTTCCAAAAAGTGTAAGAAAATAAAGTTTAACCAGATTGAAGTTAAACTCTTTCAGGTTAGTATCTCTATATCTATTTTGAATTATAGATATATTATACTGTAATAGTACATGTAATATGTTACCTTGGCAGGCACATTTTAGAATGTAATGTCACTGAAATGTTATATTGTGATACCTAAATTTTTTTGCCTGGGCAGTTGAGGAATTTTGCCCCATATAAGGCTTTAATTTAACAAAGAAAAAAAATTTTTATCAAAAACTTTCTGAGATATGAGCCATTGAAGAGACGCTTTCGGAAATAACATTAATTTCGGTGACCAGCATTCCGCAAGTATATTTATTATAAGATTATCTAGATCTCAATAATCGAAGGATTTCTTTTTTTATGCAACACATTTTCTCCTACAGCTGAAAATCGACATTTATTTTTTAACGAAAATGATAGGGGAGAGTCTCCAGTTGTGAGACACCTCCAGTTGTGAGACAGTCAATTTTTTTTAACATTCAATATTAAAAAGCCGATTGGTTTATATAAAAACATATCTTTTAATATGAGCCAACTTTTTCGTGTACGCCGAAGCGGATATATAAACTGTTTTTGTTAAATACCATCACTGTGTGTGATAATCGACTAAAAAGCATTTTTTCAATAAATGCAAAGTACTTTTTTTCCAAGTTAATTAATTGGAAAAGGTAAATGTAATGAATTTTCTTTTAGTGTTTTCCTTATATTTTGTGATGCAATATTGTATTGTTCCAATCTACGGTTAAAAATAATTTAATTTTCCTTTTTTAAAATAGCGCGAATTTCTGGGTGTGAGACACAGCATATCACCAGTTGTGAGACGGTGTCAACACCCATCTGGTCAGCATAAAAAATACGACTTTGCAGGCATACTATTTAAATGTTGTTTTGATTTTTTTTCTAGTATTTTTGGGCATGTCAAGTGGAAAAAAGTCAATTGATTCAGAAGAAATCAATTTTAATCCTCTTCTTGAAGCTATTAAATTGTGGTTATTTGATAGTCATATTTTTGCGAATAAATATTAATATTTAGTATATAATAATATATATTATTAATATATTTAATTATTTCTACTAAACATAACGTTTTATGTCAAACTTATTAAATTTTAGAAATTTTTAATGAGTGTCTCACAACTGGAGACATTTTTTTTTGACAAAAGCGATGTGCTCGGAAAATGTATCGTAAAATTTTTTGAGTTTATCGAAACACTACACTTTCTTTTAATAAAAGTTGCGTATTTCTGTTACCTGTCGAACGGTGTATTTTATTTACAATTTCGTTTACCCGTTTACAATTTACGGGTCAAAAATAAAACCCGTCTCACAATTGGAGACTTTCCCCTACCTTTGACTTTGACAGCTCGCCAGTTTGTCAAATATGTATTTTTTAAATACTGCGTGTGGAAACTAGATAACCTTATAATAAATGTAAATCGATTTTATTTTTGCATTTCAGACAAACTATACACTGTTAAAAATTTAGGGAGTTAACAAACACGGGAGTGAAATTTTTCGAGTTAAAAATCAACTCCAAAAGAGAGTTAATTTCTAACTCCCTTCATTCAACACCCGCGCGAGTTATTTTTTCCTTGGGGAGGTTAGTATTTGGCTGTGAAATTTTAACTCTCTTTATTCAACTCCCCTGGCATTAACTCCCCAATGGGTGCGACTTTTATAGACCCTCCGGGGGAGTTAAAATTTAACTTCCTTTTTTTACAATGTACTTGCCGGGTAAGAAGCGAAGAATTGAAAAGAATTCAAAAGTTTTATTCTTCTTAATAGGCGAATTTACCTCGGAGCTCTATTTCACGGAAACGACCAAAATTTCAGAAAAATCTATTATTCTGAATTGACTTCACAAAAATATGAAACGCGCATTCAAAAGAATGAGAAAGTACAGCAAATCAGTAGAAATTCCTATTCCTCTGAATTAACTCACTGCCACTCAAGATTCCACTAGAAAGTGAGGTTAGGCTTAGGTTTTAAAACTTAACTTCAATTTTTTTTTCAAAAACTTGCAATGCCATAAAACTTTGCGCATTAGGAAAAATAGAAAATTTGAATTCTTTTTTATCTCCCGATCGACGAGAGCAATAGAGAAGAATTGATTTTTCTGAAATTTTGATGGTTCCCGTGGAATTGAACTCCGAGGAAAATTCGCGTATTTAGAATAATTCAAAATTCTCGTTTTCAAGCATATTTTCTAGAAATTGAATTATTTTCTATTCTACGCTTCTTACCGAGTGCGTAATGCTGGTCACCAGAATTTCACGTTTTTTATCTCGCAAATTTATGTCTTTTAGACGTCTTTTGAACATTTTTTGAAACAGACATAGAATGTCTTATAGACGTCTTTTAGTTGTCTTTATGATGTCTCTAAAATATTACCATCATTGTCCCCAAATGTCCGCTGACAAAAAGATAGAATAAAATAAAATTCTAAATTTACTACTTTTTAGGAATACTAATTATAATTGGTGAATAAAGACTTGGAAATATATTTCAATTTTAATGGCTGTTAAGGAATGGATTGTTCGATTGAAGCCAGTGCAGCTATACATAATTATGTTTACTACTTCAATATTCTTTATTGTGGAAATGACAGCTAGCTATATAACGCATTCTCTAACTCTTCTACTACATTCATATTATATGCTCTGTAATATAATTGCTTTTATTGGTTACATAGCATCATCAAAGGCAAGTATTAATTACTTTAAACTGCCATGTTTTAAGGCCTGAGTGGCAAGTTCACATGAGAAAGAAATTTTTTTATACACGGAAAGAAAAAGTTCACGGATCTCTTGTGAACTATTAGTGCATCACTTTTGAATCCCGTGCAGAAATTTGAGTCGGGCCCTGATCGGGGCCAGATCTGGAAATCCAGCCTGGCCCCGGCCTGGGTGAAACAATGAAACCGACCGGGGCCCGATCTGGTTCCCTAGCACGGCCCCGATCTGGGCCATGGAATTTTTCCCGATTTGACAGGCATTGTAATTTTTGTGATAGATACGCTAATAAAGGCCAACGCAGAATAGATCTGTAACCGGAACCGCAATCGTTACTGTAAGCGTAAGAATGAGTTAGAGAAGGATAAACAATATACCTATCCTTCTTTAACTCATTCTTACGGTTACGGTTACGATTGCGGTTCCGGTTAAAGATTCTATTCTGCGTTGGCCTTAAATGCCCGTGTAGAAATTGCCCTACTAGGGCCATAGTAAGGAATGAAACGCCGCGCCCGATCAGGGCCAGATCGGGGCGACAAGAAAATGTGGATTTCCTGATCAGGGCCACATCGGGCGCGGCGTTTCATTCCCTAATAGGTCGGCCCTATCCGGCCCTGATCAGGGCCCCAGCGAAATTTCTACACGGGTGGTAAGAATTTAGTTCATATTGCTAGTAAATAATGGTTACTAATTTTAATTGACTGAAACAAAACTGCTTCCACTATTCCTAAATTTACGCGCTTCTCGCGTTAATTCAAAATAATATGAATAAATTATAATAATAGTTAATATTATTATTAATATCTCTCTATATTATTAAAAGATTTCGCCGCCGGATTCAGTGCCCTGAAGTTGGCCACAAATGGTTAAAAGTCAAAGGTCATACGGCACTGCCTGGTTTAAATGACGTGAAATTGGTAAACAATCATTTTCGAACGAGTTTTTCTCTGCACACAAGCACTTTTTGCAAAATCTGAATCCGAACCATTGACACAAATCTTCTTAATTACCTGAATCCAAAATATTTTTTTATCCCACATGCACAAAAATGGCGCTTTTAGATAGCTGACGACAGGGAGTAAAGTCACTCATTTGTTCGACCATATGAAAATGGCGTCCATTTTCTCCCATGTGCAAACATAACCGCTGATCCCATGCGTTATTTTTGCTCAAGGGAGAAAATGGCCGCCATTTTCATATACAGTCGGGCCGCAGAACTGTACGGTACCCCAGAAATAACCCCTCCACTTGATTTCAAACTGTACGCTGACGAACTCATCCCCACTATTTAATTTTCAGGACTGTACACTTATATATTTAAGGAGCAAGTTTTCAAAAGTTGATAAATATAATTTTTTTTAAATCGAGATAAACATAAATTTAATAATTTAAATATCTCACAAATCGTCATGTCCTTGTTAAATTAAAAAAAAAAATTTATTAACAGCGAATTTTCAATTTAAAAACTTTTTGACATAACCAAGTTGACTTTTAATTTTTATGTTTGTTATTAGAACAAATTACCAAAACCTTAAAGTTACTTTCTTATGTGAAAGTTTGATTAAAAACAGAACGTATTAAATATAAAAACATTGTTACAAATATTAAATATTACAAATTTTTTATTTTGAAATTAACTGAGTGGTTATGTCAGGAAAGTCATTTATTTCGATTTCTCGAAATAATAAGAAAATAGGAATTTATCAAGTTTTGAAAACTTGTTGCTCTTCATTTATTGTCTGGGACTATAATATACATAATTTTAGATTTAAAATTAATTAAAATCATAAAAATATATACTATTCTTAAAATTATAAATGTTAGAAAAATTAACATTTTTTAACTAAAATGTATTGTCTCATAAAATTAAAAGAAGTCCACTGATTTATCCAAATTATGGAAAAGAAAATAATTTGATTAAATCAATAAATTTAATTTTAAGGATAAGAATTTGACAAACAATCGGAACAAAAGTTAGTCCAATGTCATAATTTCGTATTTTAAAAAAAAGTCAAATTAAAAAAAATTAAATTTTAAATTCCTTTTGGTAAAAGCGTAAGGAATTTAATTTTCTAAATTTTGAACATTTTACATATATATTTGAATAAAAATGATAATTTTTGTCAATAATGAATGATTTAAGTAACATAACCTAAAATTTAACAAATGTTTCTTATTGACAGAAAATTGTAATTTTTATTCGAATGAAACTTTTAATCGTTTTAAATATTTAAAATTAAATTCTTCGCCTTTCCAACAAGACTTTTATTCCCTGTCGTCTGCTATCTGAAATCGCCAGTTTTGTGCATTAGGAATAAAAAATATCGTAAGTAACACGGGAGTAAAGGCAGCCAATTTGTTTACGATGATTTTTGTGACACTCGTTGACATAAATGTTGACATAAATGTTGTTTGTCAATTTTTTACCTGTAGGTTAAAACTGCCCTTCAAATTAACCTAAATTTTGAGAGCAGAGGGAATTGTTTGTTAATTTTTGACCTGTAGATTAATACTGCCCTTAAAATTGACCTACATTTTGAGGTCAGAGGGAATTATTTGTGAATTTTTGACGTTTAGGTCAAAACTGCCCTTAAAATTGACCTACATTTTGAGGGCAGAGGGAATTGTTTGTCAATTTTTTACCTGTAGGTTAAATCAGCCCTTAAAATTGACATAAATTTTACGGGCAGAGTAAAACGCAATTTTTAACGCTTAGGTCAAAACTGCCCTTAAAATTGAACTAAATTTTGAAAGCAGAGCGATAAGTTTGTCAATTTTTAACTTTAAGTCATAACTACTCTTAAAATTGACTTAAATTTTGAGGGCAGAGGGGTTAGTTTGTTAGTTTTTTACCTGTAGGTTGAATCTGCCCTTAAAATTGACCTAAATTTTGAGTAATTTTGACCTGTAGGTTAAAACTGCCCTTAAATTGACCTGAATTCAGGTCAAATATAACTTGTTTCTGACGATGGACCTACCTTGACAGTGGGCCAACCTTGACTATGTTCCCCCTACTATAAGGGTCCCTTAAAACTTTCTGAAACAGCGGCGGCGGCGATATGATTTTATATTAATAGGGATAGATTACTTAACAATTATTGGAAAATTTTCTGTCTACTTCTTAAATTAAACAAATCATAATATTGAATACTATTTCTCATAAAACTTTTTTTTAAATAGGTTTGTATCATATTTCTAAATAGTAACAGTTATCGTCAAACAGAAACAATAATACTTCAATTAAGTATTTTTCACACTAATTTCATTCTTTTTTTATAATATTTAGAAAATTTAATCTGATAGCGTACCACTAATGTAAGAATGGATGTCGAAATTTTAACAATTCTAAGAAACATGCATGGAGAGAAATCTGTTAGGATTAATGCTCGAAACTTTTCATATACTTTTTCCATAGATTCTTTGATGCTAAAATCCTAACAGAGAGCCTATTTATCGCTCGAGTCCGCCTGAATATTAGGCGGAGTCGACTGATATTCAGGCGGACCTCTAATACTTTTCGCTAGTAAGTGCTTATGCTATATTCATAACCTCTACTCTATGCATTATTCGCAACAGATTTCTCTTCGTGTGCTAAACGTTAAAACAATTGCTGTGTTAAAATTAAACATTTTCTTATAAACGTCCAAAAGATACAGTAGGGGAGGATGGGGCAAGGCTAGTTAGTGGTTGTAATGCTTAAATGGCTTATTCAAAAAGCGCGTCATTCTTGATATTTTCGTGTCTTAACACTAAAGGGCCATCCATAAACCATGTAGCCTCTTGAGGGGGAGGGGGGTCAAGCAATTGATTGCGACAAGAGGAAAGAATGGCGCTAATATATGTAATAGCGTACTACATGGGGGAGGGGGGGTCAAAATTCCCAAAAAATGGGGCTACGTTGTTTATGGACGACCAAACAAATGATAGTAAAAATTGTAAGTCAATCTGACACCATTTGCGAAGTTAGGAGTTTATTTTTATAAAACACCTGTTTTTCTAAAATATCAACGTAATTTTAATCACGCTTTATTATATTCTTGCTGAACACGAATATCGTAATTTATTTTTAATTAAATTCACGTTGTTCCACAAAATTTAGGAATAATTGAAATATGGGTTCCTTACTCCCCCATGGGTCAAGAATAGTTAGAGCTAGTTTGGCACGGAACAATCCTCTAATGCGACTACAAATTTAAAAGAAATGTTTAATCTTTCTTTTTAGGTTGATACACCCTACGAAGGATTACCACAAACAATACGAACCCTTGAACAATAGCCTTTGTAAATGAGGGACCCAGGTAATAATATTTTCTTTCTTCCTTCATCGCAAGAAAAACTATAGATAAAAGTCAATATATATATATACTTTTATAATTGAAACACAAAAGATAACGGCGCCAGTTACGCCGGCTCTGGTTTCTCTCTTTCTCTAAGGGCAATATAAATAAGAATGTCTTTCTTCACCTAATTTGCATATCTACTCGTTTCATATTAAGGAGGATTGCATGAGTATGGATGTGCAAAATAAATATATTTTCTAAATTTTATTAAAAAATGGTGGATTTGCAACCTTTTTTTTAAAGCGTCTCGTTTTAGGATTCCATGGCCAGACAACTAACGTACTTAATTTTTTATTTAAAAAAAAAAACGAAAATTTGTTATTTCCTATACATCAACATCTATCGACAAACGTAGGATTTTTTTTATATTACTTAATTTTATTTTTATTAACAATTTCGTGGATTTTTTAAAAATTGTTCCTTTTTTGTTCAATCAATCACCATTTTTCAAAAATTAAATTATCGGAAAAATTTTACGTGTGTCGATAGCTGTTGATGTATAGAAAATTACATTTTGGTTTATTTCCAAATCAAAAGTTGTCCGGCTATGGAACCCTAAAAAACAGATGCCTTCCAATAAAATGCTGCACAGCAGCCATTTTGCAATAAAATTTTTTTGTAAAAATATATT